AGGGTGTTAAATATTTGTTTAATGTCATGTTGTGCTATATTCTGTTTGAGGTTTTTAGTGCAGCAGTAGCTAATCTTAAAAATGTTTTTGTTGAAAATTTTGTTGAGTAATGGTATGTGGCTGAAATATTTGTGGATTAAATTGAGGAAAATTTGACCTATATTCGTTTTCGCATTTTTGTTAAATGGTTGTTTAAAACAAATTATGTTGCGTTTTCTATTCTTATGTTTATTGTTGGCATTCTTATTAAAGTTTATGTATTTTAGTTTAACTTTGTATTTACTTTTTTCTAGTGCATCTACATATTTAGTTTTATATTCGTCAAAAATAATTTTGTTGCCAGAGTTAGTCGAGAGTCTGTTTTGTACCGATTTGTGTAAGTTGTTTAACATACCTGGGTTTGGATGGATTCTTTGCTAATGTATTTATGGATATAAAGTTCTTAGTATAAAGGCATATATATTCATTTGGAAAGTAGTGTCCAGAAAGTTGATCACCTTGGCATTGGTGTTAGTGGTGATATTTAGTCAATGATCCTTGAAGAAATTGGTAAGGTGTTTCCTAAATCGGTCTGTTTATTGTGGGGTGGTGTTATGTAGGAGAATAACTCTGCTAACCAAGCTTGTGAATTGGTTGGCATTTTGCTACTGTGGAGACTTAGGTTTACTTTCGGTAGCCTGAACACTGGTCTGGGCATAGACGACGGAGTTATATATATATATATATATATATATATATATATATATATATATATATATATATATATATATTCTACTATCTAGAGAGAGGGAATAAGTTTCAACCGTGCATGGTGATTGTCAGGTTCATGCTTCAAATGCGATCTTCAAATAAAGTGAAACTTATAGCCATCATGCAGTGTCCATTCTGTTGTCTATATCTATAAATGTTTTTATCTCCGATGTTGAACGATAATTATAGTAACTTTACCAATCAACACACACACACACACACACACACACACACACACATATATATATATATATATATATATATATATATATCCAGGTAAAATGAGAACAAATAGAGTAAAATTCCGACGTTCATAGCATTTAATATAAAATAGTGACCAATGCAAAGTAGATGAATATTAAGTTTGTATAATTCATGTAACCATTTGTATCCACTTTAGTTTATGTCTGGATGCCGTTAGCTGCCAATCTATGGGTCATGACCCATTTATAAAAAATAATTTTTAATTTTGCTTCTTCGCTTAGTTTAAATTTAACGTAGGTCATATTTGACTGGTTGATCAAAGTAAAGCCCACAAAACTTATACCCTCGTATTTTTATTTGTTTTTCGTAAAAGAGTTTGTATTTTGCTTTTAAATCTAAATAATCGTTCACTCACCAGTTTATTTACAAACGCCTGGTGAGATGTATTGATACGCATCGAAACACAACTGCAATTGTGTTGTGATCTTGACATGTTTTCGGTGTAATATCCTAATTATATATATTATATATATATATATATATATATATATATATATATATATATATATATATATATATATATATATATATATATATATATATATATTATGCAGTGTTACATTAAATCATGTACATACCCACTACAAAACTGTACATCTTGTTTCAACGTTGTTTTAAATTAATATTTTGAACGCCAAAATCTTACTCTTCGTTTTTTTTTACATTTGGATATATATATATATATATATATATATATATATATATATATATATATATATATATATATAATGAGGAAAATGAGTGGTGTGTCTAGAGCATCCAATAGTTCATAGAACAGAAAAGTGAAATGATTTCTCTAAAGAAAATAAAACTTATATAAACTGACATTGAAGAAAACAACAGCCGGCCTACTGACAAAACACAGTTCTTCATAATGAATGAGAGAGTGGCAAGCTCCTGAAGAATTACAGAACAAAAGCATGAACTTCAGATAGATTATCCGAAAGTTGTATCCGCAGTTTCAACAGCATATTTGAAAATTGGAATAATGCAATAGAGAAATAAACAGAAATACCTTTTGGGTTGAATTTAACAAATTGTGTTTGGATATATATATATATATATATATATATATATATATATATATATATATATATATATATATATATATATATCTATTGGCCTATGCGCATTATTTTGTGAGATATTCATTGAAAGAACAAAGTCTTAGTTGATTTCTCATTTGCTTTTCTCACGTTGTGTAGATATTTATTTATTTGTTATGTATTTCAGAGATTAATCATTTTCGAAATGAAAATTCATTCATTTCTTGCTTGACAGGTGCGGGTCAAAGCCAACAGTTTAGATAAGTTGATTAAATTGGAAAACCAGGCATAAGTCTAAAACTCATCGGAAAGTAATTCGAAATGTTCCTTTCTCTTTACCATTTTTTTTTAAAAACTCGCCTCATGATAAATGGATATCGAATATCTGCCAATGACACTTACCAATATCGATTAAAGATTTTACCGCAGTATTTAGCGCTAGTAGAGCCGACCAGTGCCAGCTTTAGGTTTCCTAAAAAATATTCCAAACTTTTTGTACTGTCCGATCGTATCTCCATGTAAAAGATGCTATAAAAATCCGTATTGCTTTAAACGATGTTCGGGATCAATTTGACAGCTTTTTAAAGGAAAATCAAAGTGAACATCTAAGCGAAAAAATCAATTTATTGGAAAACTAATAAAGTGGCCTCCAGGTTAAATAATCAGAAGACCATTCTCTCAAAGAAGACACCCTCAGCATCGCGCACAGCCACGATCCGATTCCAGAATCTGTCACATGCGGCCTTTACGATGTCTGTAAGGGGAGCATCAAACGCCTTCTTAATTCTGTCGATTAGCTGAGCCTTGGTATCACAGGCATTTGGTATCTTTCTGAAAGGCGCCCCACACATAATCCACGGATTTACAAATGGGGAAATTACGGTGTCAAACGTTGTGACTGGTGAAGTAAAAATTATCTGACATTCACAACTGACACTTCTTGGACGTATAGCATAGAGATGAATGTTGCTGGCACACATATGGTCTTCAAGCTGCCAGTCTCTCCAACCAAGGCTTGACCACGGTGTTCCACAACTCCCCATAGCGATGCGAACTGAGCCTGAGACCCTGTTGAAGATGAGATATGGAATGGTATCACCCTCACTGGCGCTCTCCCCATCACAGTTTGGGGAAATTTGGTCTTCATTACATGAGGAACGTCATATAGATTGTAGGCGAGCTTTTGTGCAGTTGATCCTGAATTCTTTTCATCGGTGAAGAACTGGAATGTCCCTTTTTCAAGAGGATGTTTCAGTTTGTCCGGGAGTGTCTTCGCGTTTACCAGACGGTTTTCTCGAGCATTTTTGAAAGTCTTTACACCTCTTGTATGACTGGTAGTGGAGGTTCTCATTTAAAGCTAGTTTCATGGCGGAAATTGCAACACTCATTTCCCGCGCCAAAACCCGCATTCCCTTTAATGGGTCATCCATCATTTGCTCCTGCAGTTGTTGGATTAATCCTGCTCTATGGAGGCAATCATAACTTTTGCTATATTCTTTCCTTCAAGCCACAGCCTCATAGTCTCCGTTGCAGCTATCCATTTCACGTGTTATTATTTTTCCGGTGTTCAAAAAGCATTACCCTTTTCCAATATTCAGGTGGCTTCCATTCATCTATGTCAGTTAACTTTGACACTTCTAAAAGTGTAGTGACTAGGTGTCACAATGCTGTTCGCTGTTTACAGATATTCCAAACCAATCGGAAACATGGTCTTCGTGACAAGAGAAACGTCGTATGAAATGTAGGCAAGCCATGTTGTTCTGGTTGTTGTTCAGTTGTTTCTAAGAACACTTATTTTCATCAGAGAAGAACCAGATTGTCCCTGATTCAACAGGATGTTTCACCATGTTCAGGAGTTTCTTTGGCTTTGTCAGACAGTTTTCTCATTTTTTGTTGTTGTAAGAAGTTGATCTTTACACCTTTTCTATGACTGGTAGCCGTGATCCTCATTCAAGGCAGTTTCATGGTCGAAATTGCAAGACCCATTTTTCACACCAAAGCGGCCATTTCTTTTTCCTGTCTTTGCCATCACTTTTTCCTGCGACTGTTTGATGAATTCTGGTGTATGGAGGCAATCATAACTTTTGTTGTATTCTTTCCTACACGCCACGGCCTCATAGTCTCGGTTGCAGCTCTCCATCACGCCTTATTATTTTCACGGTATTCAAAGAGCCTTGAGCAGTTGTCATAATTGCGCCATTTTGATGCCCAGCACGAATCATCATGAGGCAGGTTACCCTTTTCCAATATTCAGATGACTTCCACTCGTCCATGGCAGTTAACATTGACACTTATTATAAAACTGTAGTGACATTAATTTATGCCAAATTTTGCCGGAACACCTTGCATATGTTCAATACTGGCAACAGCAATTCTTATGTCCTATATTCCTTCAGATCGTGGGAGAACATGGCTCTCTACTATTTCCTATCATTTGTAGCTCTTATATGTATCTTTTTGCCATTCTTTCTAACCCCTTGTATACCAACCATTTATACAAGTTCGTTAGGCAGATTATTTGCTGCTTTCCTCTGTCTCTCTTGCCTTTAATATTTCCTGTACGTATCAAATTCTCTCAGCCGTCTTTCCTCATTGAGTATCCAAATATTTCTTTGTGATCTTAAGTGTCTTTTTTGTATCCATTATACTTAAAACTTCGTGGTTACATGTTCAGTCTCTGGTTCTTCTCGCATCCTTCTGCCTACCTACATATCTGTTTCCTCAATCTCTTCTTCATTTGTGTGGAGATTGTGCAGTATTCACTGACATAGAGGAGGACCGATATTAGATAATAATTCCTCTCTCTTTTCTTTGTTTCTAAAAAAACATCTGATTTTTTACACTTTGCTTAGCTTTTGGAAGACATCTTTCACTATTCCAATGCACCTTCGTTATTCATTTTTACATATTCCGTCTGCTGTTAAAAAACAATACCTGCTTAGGGCCACATCACGTTGAAACACCGGTTCCCATACGAAGTTAAGCAACGTCGAACTTGATCAGTACCTAGATAGGTGACCGCTTGAGAATATCAGGTGCTGTAAGTTTAGATATGTGTAGTTGATAATGGATTAAAATTGTTAGTAAGAGAGCCAAGTTCCAATTTTAGTTGTGTTCGTTAAATCCACTTAGCCGCAAATACCACTGGGAAAGGTATGAATCCGCCTCTTCTTATCTCCCAACTATGGGTTAATTAGTAAGACTTGTATCGCTAAACCATTATTACCTGAACTCAATTACAATCTAAAAATATTTTCTGGCTTTAAATAATTTGGAAAGAGTTGATAAACCGTAGAAAACGGATCAAGCGAACCAAAAACTGAAATTTTTGTACTCGCCTGATTTTTAGAATATTTACATCGTTCGGACTGTTGTCCTCATCTTTATTGATATATTCATGAGTTTTTGGCTGTTGTGCATTCCAGCCTTTTTCAGGTGATATACGTTAAAATTACGAACCAAATGTTGTAAATCACCTGTAGAAGGCCGGAGCGTACAACGACCAAAACTTCGTGAATATGGTAATAAAGATGATGACTTCAGTTCGAACGATGTGTCTTTATTTCTGAGATGAGGTATTATATACACTATTTACATTGTTCGGACTATTGTCCTCATCTTCGTTGCCATGTTTATCACAACGCTTCGGCCGTTGTACGCTCCGGCCTTCTTCAGGTGGTTGGAATGTCGACCTGAACCCTTTATTTTGCTCACTGGGGTAGACTGTTCTAGTTCCACGTGCCATGTCTAATGGATGTCAGTTATCAGTTATCTCCTGTTAATTTCCCTCTAAAAGTTCTCCACTGCCTTAACCAGGTACAACTGGACCTAACTAATGCCTTTATCCACTGTGCCATGTGTCCTTAAGAACAAAGAAGGCCGGAGAGGTACAAAAGCCGAAACGTTATGATAAATATGGCAACAAAGATGAGAACAATAGTCCAAATAATGTAAATATTGAACGATGTAAATAGTGTAAATAATTGCAATATATCATCTCAGGAGTATAGACAGATGTCGCTTGAGTTTGTTGTTTCGAATTTGTAATTCACGTCTGTGTCTTTTCCATTTGATGACAACCATTAATTGTATTTCATTGCAATTGAACACAAATTAACACTTAACACAAATTATAGTCTACAATGCTGTTTTCATTTCAACTTTCCTATATGGTTGCGAAACCTGAACTCTACATTGTCGTTACATCCAGAAATTAGAACGCTATCACCAGCCAAAGATTCGTTCAATCTTGAAAATAAAATCGAATCAATATGTAAATAACACCAAAGTCCTAGAAAAAAGACAACAGTCAAAATGTCGAGTAGCTGATCATTAAACAATGTCTTCGATGGTCAGGAAATATAGCAAGAATGGAAGAGTTAAGGTTTCCACGTCTGAAGTCTTATTCAGTGAACATCATTCAGAGAAAAGACCATGTGGTTGAACTCTTTGAAGATACAAGGGCCAACTGAAAACAATACTGAAAGCCGCTGGACTTGAGTCTGAATAGTTTGAAACACAAGACAGTACTAAATTGCAATGTCCCATCAACGTCGTAACCAAAAACTTCGAAGGCACCAAAGAGAAAAAGAAGTCAAACGGCAAGAAAGAAAGGCTCAACAAAATCGTAGTCCTCCACCAATATTACCATGCAGTCAATGCCACCGGTTCTTCCGTGCAAGAATTGGTCTACTTGGTCTTCAACGCCATCATCATAAAGGAAGCAATCAGAAAGGAAGAAAATCAATTCTTGGATACGAGATAAAGCAGACGACGACGACAACGTGGAGATATTATCCAGCATTCACTCTCATATAATAGGATTGATCATACTTCTTATAAAACCCAGGTTGTGTGTGTGTGTGTGTCTGTACGTTTATATATTGGATCGGATTTCCTACATTTTTCAACCGATTTCAACAAAACTTCACAGGACTACGTAAAATTACCTTGCGGTGGTTCTGACAGCGCCCAAAATTGGAAAAACACAATTGTTTTTGCACGAAATCAATTTGAATACACGATTAAGAGGCACCACGAGAATGAAAGGGGGACAACTCATATCGAGTTATGCTTATAAAACCCAGGTTGTTTGTGTGTGTGTGTGTTCGTTTATATATGGGATCGGATTTCCTACATTTTTCAACCGATTTCAACAAAACTTCACCTTTTTTTTGGCAGGTAGTGTTTCTTATTGTCTTGCACACTTTTTTCTTTATTTTTACATTCAGAATGCTTTAAAAATTCCATTTACAAGACAATTGTTTATAATAAAATTCTATTCAATCGGTAGACTCATAACGATTGAAAACAATGTTTTTGTTTGAGTTTGACCAATTCGTAAATAAAAAAAACAAAACAAAAAAACAAAACAAAAAAAAAACTAATTAAGACATGCGTGTCCGTCAACCTTCAATCGTCCGTCAATAATCTTTGTCAATTTTATTTTTCAGTCTTTATGATGGTCGATACTTGATCTATCTCTTACTGTTACTTTCCCGGGCAACGCCGGGATCTACTGCTAGTATTATATAAAATTTCAGCACTATTTTCTAACGAATATTTCCTGTTTCTTGACATTTCGCTTAGATTTGGAAATGCCATTCCTATGTGGTGCTATATTTCGCATACTCTGTTAAAACATTTCCCAGATATTTAAACTTACATACCTGTTTGATAGTGACATCTCCATTTGCAGTTCGTATCTTGTGTTTTTTCTCTTGCTGACAACGACATATTCTGTCTTGTTACAATTGATAGTCCTTTATTCAAACTTTCGTTTACTACAGGTTCTGCAATTTTCTTTCTGTGTCTGCATTCAACACAGTGTCATCTGCGTATCTTAAGTTATTAGGATTGTGATCACCGATAATAAGTCCTGATAGTTTCCATAGGATAGCCTCGCTGTAGAGGTTGAATAAGTCCAGCGAGAAGACACATCCTTGTCTTAGGACCATTTCTATTTTCTGGAATAATCCAGAACTTATACTAAAAAAGCCAATCGCTTGCATACGGATAGAAAATAAATCGAGTAATTCATTTTATATTTGTATACAAGCAGCTGACTTCCAGTATAAAGTTCTGGATTATTCTAACATTCACTTCCAAAAAAACCGAGTTTTAGTAACAGTTCAAATAGATCATTGTGCGCTACCATATCAAATGCTTTTTACCAAATCTATAAAACCTGAAAAGAATTTCGTTTGTAAAGTATAACAGTTCTTTTGATAATTTCGTCTATTTTTGTATTGTCTGAAAATTTTAACGGTCGTGAATTCTTCAATAATACTAATTGTTCTGCTGTTGCTTGATTGTCCCATTCACTCTGTGGAATATAAACATTTACTTGATGAATCCCGCTCAGCACCAAAGCTAATAGACAAAAAAGTAATTTTTGGTAAATGTGAACATTATTTTGAAAAGAATTCTTTTCTCCTAAATTGAACTTAAAAATAAATCAGAATTTCTTATTGATCATGTTTTGAACACATTTAAATTCAGCCTAACATATAATCATTTTATATTAGTTTCAGATTCGGAGTGATGACATATTTTCGATGAAACCTTTCCCAACCTGGACCAATTGATGAATAAAAGTCAACGAAAAAAATAGCAAATGTTCACCACTGTAAAAAAAACAAAATGTAAAAACCAAAAAACAAAACAATCAAAAAACGATATGTAAACTATATCTACATAAAACAAAGTACCAGTGTTCGTCTTTGGATGCGTTGTTATTCTGTCAGTTTTTTTGGTGTAAGCAATCGGAGTTCGGTTTAAGTTGAAGGCAAAATGGGTTCAAAATGGTAAAAAAAAATATCGACAAAAATTGTTTCTTTTTTTCATAAATGCATTTATATTCAAAATGGTTCATGGCATGACATTGCTGATATTAAAGTCAAATCATCAAACGAATTAATTTTTCTAAGTTCCTCTAATAAAAACAACAAATAAAGGAATGTCTATTCATGAGTATCCACTAAAATAACGTTTGGAGTAATAAAAAATTGAAAATGTATAGCAGTGTATAGTTTTCTTTTTTTTCCAGGAAAACGAAATATCATTGAAAGTTCCACGGGTTTTATACCTTTCCCAAGTAAAAACGAGTGTCATTTTCCCCCAGGATAATGACGCAGACAACTTTAACTTTATTCAAGAGAAAGCGAAATTCTTCGAAGCAGGGGACATTCTACTGTTGATACCTGAGCCAGATGCGAAACACGCATTCCTAATGAAGATAGATTTAACCATTGATATTTGTTACATGACTGGCTTGTGTCTATGCAGCCTTATATGCAGCAAGCATCAGTTTAATTGTTATCTGTTCTTTAATTAAAGCTCTGGTGCTTTTTACTTGGACACCAAATGACTTGTCGGTGATTGATATATTTTCCTTTTTAAACCACTGCCGATAGCTACTAAATATAACAGACCATTAGCACCATACACGCCGTGCAATTTCGGAAATGTGCTAAGTCTTTAGTTAAAAAAATTGACATTACTCAAAGTTACTCAAATTTTTCTCGTCAACCACAGTGGCATTCAGCACAAAAATAAATTACTCGATACCAACTTACCTGTATATATAGATTTCACCTAGTGACTAACTGCCTAATAGTTTGAATACAGCAAACAAATTAGATCTATTACTCATTCCGTTTTCCCAGCGTAGTTACGATTAAGCTACATCTCCACTTCAAGAAATAGTCGAAATAGTAACATTACTAGCTTGCAGACAGTTAAAACGAATAAATTCATTTTTACAAGCAAAAAAGTTGCCGAGAAGGCAGATAGACTGAGTAGGTGAGACACAGAGAAAGAGGGAGCATGAAGAGAGGATGTAGGAGAGAGTGAGAGAGAAAGAATAAGAGAAAGATACTGAGTCAAAAAGAGAAAGGAAAAAATATGGATAGGTTGTAAGAAAAACAGAGAAAGAGATATCAAAAGGAAATATTTTTAGAGAGATATAGAGAATACGAGAGAATAGAGAAGAAACGAATAGATAAAGAAAGAGGATACAGAGAAGATGAACAGAGAAAGAGAGAGAATTCAGACAAGACGAACAGGGGAGAGTATACAGACAAGACGAATGGAGAAAGAGAGAGAGAGGAGACAAGATGAATAGAGACAGAAAGAGAATACAGAGAAGACGAATCGGGGAAGAGAGAGTATACAGACAAGATGAACAGAGAAAAGAAGAGAATAGGCAAGAGGAACAGAGAGGACAGAGACAAGACGAACAGAGAAAGAGAGAAGATACAGACAAGATGAACAGAGATAGTGTGAGAATACACACAGGACGAACGTAGAAAGAGAGAGGATACAGAGAAGACGAATAGAAGAGAGAGAATACGAACAAGAGGAACAGAGAAAGAGTGGAAATACAGACATGAGGAACAGAGAAAAGAGAGAGTATACTGGCAAGACGAACGGAGAAAGAGAGAGAATACAGACAAGATTTGAGACAAACAAAGAAAGAATGAGAAAATAAGGGCAAGTTTTGAGAGAGAGAAAAAGAGGTAGAATAAATAGAAATTTTAAGATAAACAGGGAGCACGCGCTGGAGAGACAGAAAGAAAGAAAGAAAGAAAGAAAGAAAGAAAGAAAGAAAGAAAGAAAGAAAGAAAGAGAAAATAGAGCAAGTGGACAATTTGCGTGGAAGACAGATAAAGCGAGAGAATAAAGACAAGATTTAAGACGGAGATAGAGATCAGAAGGAAACGATTTGAGACAGATTGAGAGACAGAAAGAAAGAGAGTGAGAGAGAGAGACAGACAGACAGACAGACAGAGAGAGACAGAGAGAGAAAATATAAGGACATGTTTTAGAGTGAGGAAGAGAAAGAATAAGAACAAGATATAAAACAAACAGCGAATGAGAGAGAGAGAGAGAGAGAGAGAGAGAGAGAGAGAGAAAGATAGAAAGAGAGATCAGAAGATCAACTTTTGAGACAGACAAAGAGGAGAAATTTTGAGACAGGGAAATCAAGATATGAAGCTGAGAGTGAGAGAGAGAGAGAGAGAGAGAGAGAGAGAGAGAGAGAAAGAAAGAGAGAGAGAGACAGACTGACAGAAACAGACCGACAGACAGACAGCAGACAAAGAGAAAAGGAGTGTAAGGGAAAGATTTAAAACTGACAGATGGAAAGAGAGTATAATTAAAAAAATTGACAGGGGGTACCTCAAGGCGGTGTAATGGTTAGCAAGCTTGTCTTGCTAGAACAATTACAACTGAGTTGTGAGTTCGATCCTCACTGGGTACCCCCTACTTTCGGCCTTGTGCCACATTTAAGCTACGCTTGGAAAATCACTATACGATTTGAGACAGAATAAAGACAAATTTTTAAGCAGATAGATAGATAGATAGATAAAAAGAGACGAGGTGACAGAGTGAAAGAGAAAGAGATTGCATAAAGACTACATTTATCCATCGATATAAAATTTTATATAACAGTCTACTTAAAATATTAGTAATAGTCTTCGTTCATGTATATCTGTAGTCGACACCTGAATCATTTGCGGAGGAATTTCAGCTGCTTAGATGCCTGTCTCCCTTTTCGAAACATTACTGATTGCCTTCAAGGAAACTTCCGCAACACTGTCACCAAAAGACATTTTCTTTAAACACTTGGCTCAGCACCACAAAGAGCAAAATCGGCTACGAGAAATCTCTCTATTGGTCAAAAAAAGAAAGAAAAAAAGCTGCAATCAAAGGAGAGATGGTGACATCTGTTTTCAGTCCTGCAACTCAAGTGATTACAATTCGGAATTGCTGTCCGTTATCAGTCCTGTTCCTTGTGTCCGTGATCAGTACTGTTGCTTTATTGCTTTCTATAAACGATTATCTTAACTTTGATCTCAATTCTACTTCGTCAATAGACATATTCTGGTTCTCATAGACAGCCATCTTCAGTTTGTTATTTGTTTATATAGATTTATCTGAAAAATCGATACAGCAATTTTGAAATGAACTCTCTTAAAAGTCAAAATGTAGAAAACCATGTCGTATCATCTCGATATATCTGTTAGGAATGAAACAAAATATATGAAATGGCAGATAGTGTGCATATTTCCACAAACGTCTTTAAAAGGAGAGTATTGCTATTTGTGAAACGTTATATCTATAAATATTTGCTTTAGTTTCTTAGCGGATGCAGTGGAAAGTAAATTAATGACATATGCTTACATTCATTTGCCTATGTTTCTAACAGATTTACAATGTTACTCCTACCTAGGCGGCAAAGTACTTTAAGGAGAAAGGCTTTCCCTTATGGGTGTTCAACAACTCTCATCTCAGTTAACAAGTGCGATATCATAAGTTATCTTTTTTGGCATGACAAGTTATTTTGTGATCACATCTGATTTTATTTTATTGCCGCTCAAGGACGTAAGACGATGTTGACTTCTCGACAAATTTCTTTTCTTCGTTATATGCGAATTGCCATGCGTTCTTTAGAAAGATAGTCGAAAAGTTTCCTATCGATTTCTTCACGGTTTTCCCTCACTTTGATTGTTTGCCAGCCAAGGTCAGAAACCTTCATCACTCCTTTTAATTAACCCATAAACGGTGGATTGTGTAGAAGAGAAGGATCCATGATTTTTTTCAAAAGCGCAATAGACTATGCCAGAATTTGAACTCTGCTGTCCGATTCCACTTTTTGCTCCGATATCCGTTACACTACCCGCCCATCCTCGTTCATGAATGGGATTTCCCCCTCTCCCTAGATACTTACACAGTTTTAATTCCAAATGAATAAAAGCAGCCTTATTTGGAATTCGAAATCGGTACGCTCATTTAATTTACTCTGATAATAACAGTTACACCATCTCCTTACTCACAATTTGTAATCGATATCTGAAATAATCACAATCATGGTAAGAAAATTGACTGAGAGAGAGGAAAGCATAACCTTGTGCCTGACTTACTGTTACCTGAATTTAATTTTATTAATCTTGGCCTTTTTTTTTTAATAAAATAAAAAAAGAAAAGCATTTGTTTTAAGATGTAATTGGATTTTGAGCAAGGGGATTATTTTTCTAATACTTTTTAAACAAGAGATTATACTTTGGGGTCAAATCTTCATTATACTCGAGATATAGAGGTGTTTTTTTTATTATCTCAAGCAATGCGTACTGTCTCTTTGATCTTGTTAATTTTATACAACTTTAACGAAGTAAAAGAGATTTTATTTTATTTAATGTTGGATTTACGTTTGTTTATGAAAAGCAAAGTATATCAAGTAACTTGATGCATAAGAGCGTCTATTGTAGCAGCCATATCTCGCAGAAACCATGGCGTTCTTTACTAAAAGCCAAGTCATAGTGCATTTTTCCCCAGAACTCGAGGCCTATCTCAAATCTCATCGTGCCACTGGGATCAAAGAATTTTAGCTTGTTTTTGCGCTAATTCGCTACTATAATCCGCTTAAGAAATTCAAAGGAAAAGGTAGAGAAGAGCATAATTAATTTGGCTCGAAAAGTTAATCGTCTTTCTTTTGGTATATTCTTTTTATTTACAATTAATATATAATTTGGTGGAGATTCAAACCACCATTTCTCACACCATTAACGACGGTGTACAACATATATTCATTTAAATCTTTGAATTAATTGTCCAAGTTAAAACGATTTTAATGAGGCTAAAACCGTATTGGAACTTTAAGGTCTGGGACAAAAATATGACCTGAAAAAAATGTAAGTATTTATTTTATTGTTTAGAAATGAAGTAATTATTTTTTTTTCCTTATCTATCTTGTCATAAATATATCTGTTTACGATTTTAAAAGAACATAGAAAAATGAGGCTTAAAAATTTAGCAGCAGGGTTAATGCTTTATAGACCTCGTTTACAATATCGAAGAAATATCGGATTAAATTTATTGGATTTAATTATGACATGAAATTTACATAACAACGTTTTTAATAAATGATTTTTCATTAATTTTGTAGCATAAAATATCACGTTTGTTCTTATTTTATATTTTTTAGCGGTAAACTAAGCTAAAATTCAGCACGCCTTTTAAAAATAACTTTTAGAAAGATGAACACAAATTATTCATAAATATATTTTATCATCAATATATTGCTATGAATCACGATATAGAAAAATACTAAATTAACTTTATTTAACAAATAGAAACTTTATTAAATAAATTTCACTGTCTAAAAACAAAATCGAAGAAAAAAGTCTTCGGAAAAATGTCTGTTAAAAAGTAAACATATATATTAATTAATATACATTATTAAAATTAACTTTCTTGGAAAGACTTTTTAACATATTTAATAAAAAGTACGAAAAAATACGATTAATAAATTTTTCCTTTAAATCCAAGTAAAATTAAATTGTTACATTTTGGTATAAAAATATAAGTGGTACAAAATCAGCGCTGTTTTTTATTTGCTTGAAACAGAAATAAAAATTACGCAAAAATAGTTAAGTTCATCATTTGTGTATTTCTTATTAGAAATAAAATTTATTGGGGAAAAATATTAAATTAACTTTAAATGGAAAATATTAAATTAAATTTCAAGTAACAAGTCCAAGTTTCTTAAATTGCAGTTTTTAGTGAATTTTACCAGAAATGTTTGTTTCTGCCAAGAAAACATAAAACAATATAACAAACCCGAAGGAAATATAACAAATACATCTTATAATTACTTCAATTAAAAAAGCTAAAGTTATTCCTAATTTAAAAAGCAAAAATATCTTAAACTAATTGTTATATTCCGTTCTAATAGGAATACATACTTGAAAAATAAGGTGGATAAAATAAGTCAAGGTTTATTGTAAAAAACTAGTACAATAAGAATAAAGGTAACAGTTATGCACAAGGTCATCAAAAGTCAATCTTGTATTGAGTGCTACTACTGGAAGGTCGATAATTCTCGCGTAATTCTGTGTCGTACTCAACAGATCCCAGCTAGTAACATTTACCAACCTCTCCACGGTGTAGGATGTGGTACAAGGCCGAATTTAATGTGGGACAATCCGAGTACCTAGGCTCGGCCAAAATTTCCCCGTAAACCCCGCATAAACGTCTACCTCTCCGGACAAGACTCTGCTCTTCGGCATAGCCTCGTCCAGGGTTTCTCTCTGTCCGAAGGCAGAGAGTTCGACAACCGCTAAGAGCTGAGTAACAGATCGCAGCTAGACTCAGTAGTCCGTTGACTATAATTGTAGTCACTTATGGGAGGTGGAGCAGGTTATTCCATTACATCACCAACTCCGGTAGGGAACGAACGCGAACACAAATCGAATCTAAGAATCTTAGTAAATATCACAACTGAGATGTTTGTCTATTTTCAACCAGTGCCATAAGTCAGTATTCAAGGTCAGGTAAAAAGCGGGATTTTGAATAATGATTTTCTAAGTAGTCAAGCCCTTCCCGATTTGGAAATTTAGAATAACATAATCTTTCTATCTAATTTTACTCGTTTTCTCTTGTGCAATATTCATTTAGCAAATATCAAGACTCATACGATCAAATAGAAATCATATCAAAATCTGCAATATACGATACATACAGCTGCATATCTGCAAGGAAAATTGTACCAGTTCAACTCTCAATTCAATGTCTGTAAATGCTTCCTTCATGTCTATCAAACACTGATTAATATAATACAATCAAATAAATTAATCAACGATTATATGAACAAAGTATTTCGAATCAGGAAAAATTAATTAGAAACAAAAAAAGAGTTTTGAACTGCGGTGTAATAGTAGTGAATAATGAACCATTTCTTCACAGATGAAGAGAAGTCTTGAACCAACGTAGATACGGTTCCACATAATGATGCTAAGAATACCATAGCATGTAAGCAATGAGAAAGGTTTAAATTTTGGGACACATAATGAAGAAAGAGGGCTAGGAGAATTTGATATTCACAAGATGAAAAATAAGAAAAACGAAGGAAACAGTGAGTAACCTGTGTAAATGGACGAGAGAACAATAAGTAGGAGGGATAATAAAAAGAGAAACATTGCTAAGAGCTATAATAAATAGGAAGTTGTGAAGAGCCATGTCCTGAAGGGATACGGCACGTAGAAGGGAGGAAAGAAAATACAATATAGTATGAGAGGTTTCTCTTTAGGATATTTATAAAGAAGAAAGCATTCTTATTCATTAATCTTATTTCACTCAAACGCTAACGTCCATGTTGAAACACCGGTCTCCGTACGATCATCGAAGTTAAGCAACATTGAACCTTGTCAGTAGCTAGATGGGTGACTACTGTCAATACCTGGTGCTTTAATCTTGGATATGCAGGTGTTTTAATGGATAATAGCTCGGAATTGTTAATCAGAGAGCTAAGTTCCAATTCCTGTCGGATTCAATATATTCGGATACGCGTAAATACCCTTGGAAAAGGTATGATTTCACAGCTTCTCCAACCAACTATGGGTTAATTAGTAAGACTTGTGTCACTAAACG